CCACCGGGATCTCCTCCGGTCTTCAAGGCGTGCTACGTGGCTAGAGGTTTCAGTCAGCGCGACGGAGTTGACTTCTTTTAGACCTTTGCGCCTACCCCAAAGATGGCCACTCTTTGGGTGTTACTGCACATAGCAGCACATAGAGACTACGAGTTACACTCTCTCGACTTCTCCACTGCCTTCCTTCAGGGTAGCCTACACGAGGAGGTCTGGTTGCGTCATCCCTCTCCCTTCACTGGCACTTTCCCTCCTGGGACCCACTGGAGGTTGAGGCGACCGGTCTACGGTCTCCGTCAAGCGCCTCGTGAGTGGCATGACACCTTTCGCTCTACCTTGTCTGACCTCGGTTTCCAGCTGTCTTCTGTTGACCCATCATTGTTTGTTTGTCGTGGCTCTACATCGTTCTTTGTACTGGTCTACATTGACGACCTGGTCTTCGCCACTGCTGATAGGGTTACTTTGGTTCAAGTGAAGTCCGAACTAGAGAAGAGACACACGTGCACTGACCTTGGTGAGCTGCGCCACTACGTAGGCCTGTAGGTCACCAGAGACAGAGCTGCTCGCACCATTACACTCTCACAGTCACACATGGTGCAGCAGGTCCTTCAGCGGTTTGAGCTTCAGCACTCCACAGTACAGCGCACACCTCTTGGTGTTGACCACAGACTCAGTGGACCCTTTCTTGACGAGCCGTTTGAGTCTAGTGGTCCCTACGCAGAGCTAGTGGGCTGCCTCATGTACATGATGACTTGTACTCGCCCGGACCTCGCCTTCCCTCTCAGCATCCTTGCTCGCTTTGTTGCGCCAGGGAGGCACCGTCCTGTTCACTGGACGGCAGCTGTGAGGGTGGCGAAGTACCTAGCGACGACATCAGGCGTGGGGCTAGTTCTTGGAGGGCAGCAGCCTGTCGTACTTACTGGTCACTGTGACTCTTCTTACGCTGACGACGCTGAGACTCACAGGTCTACTCAGGGGTACTGTTTCAGCCTGGTCTCTGGAGTTGTTTCGTGGAGGTGCACACGTTCCACCTCTGTCTCGACCTCTACCGCTGAGGCTGAGATCTATGCTGGAGCCTTGGCTGCACAGGAGCTGCGTTGGTTGACCTTCTTGTTCTCCGACCTTGGTGAGCAGCTGAGCTCTGCACTGACCTTGTTTACTCACAACAAGGCGACGATTCTCCTCTGTCGAGAGCCTCGACTAGAGAGCAGAGTGAAGCACATCAACGTCAGGTACTTTCTTCTGCCAGAGCTGCAGAGGCGTGGACAGGCTCGCTTCGACTTCGTGGAGTCCGAGGCAGGGCTGACGCTATCAGAGTAAATAGTCTGATTAGTCTGACGGATCAGACCATCGAGTTTGTGAAAAATGGAATTCCAGAGTAGTCAAGTTTTCATCACTGAGAGCCTCAGAGTTATTGTTTTATGGCCCCTGATTCAGTGTAATAGGCCTCAGTGTTAGTCATTTCTGGAGTCTGTCACTACAGAGTATGCGTTCTGTGGTCCCTGCATGCAAGTTTATCGGGAGGAAGCTTCCTCGAAATTTTCTTTCGATACACCCACCTCCGAGGTGTCAGAGCCCTGACACAGCAGATTTGAGCTGTCAGAGCACAAAGGTCTTGACCAATCACAGTAAAATGTATCTGAGATGGCATTCCTGAGATGGGGCCCCATCAATTGCCATGGTCGGTGCAACAACATTGGTCCACCGTGGCAGAATTTGATTCTGGTCACACCACCACACGTGCCTGGCGACGGGAGTCGCCTGGGGCGAAAACCATGAAATATTTGGATCAACGAATCACATGCTTTTGTATTAACGTTCATGTGACAAGTTTAAACGTTCCAACCCAGTCTCGCAAGTGTGGTCCGATTCCAATCCAGTCACGACTGGGTTCCGTGACAGTAAAAAACGGCTGTCGTTCAGACAGCCACATACTCCCATGGTCGAGAACACACTGGGTGGGAACCGATAGATGATTTTCATTTTATTTTTTGTTACGCGACAGTCTAGCTTGACTCGTTCTGACGTTCGGAGGCAAGGAAAGTTAACGTGAGGCAATTTTGCACGACCCTCGGCTGCCCACTCATGCGACGTCCACATTCACCCCCCACCTTGCTGCCATGCCACGGGGACGTGTTTCGTGCACTGTTGCTTGGGGCCACGTCGGATGGGGCCGAATGGGGCCCCATCTCAGGAACGCCATCTCAGATGGCGTTCCTGAGATGGGGGAAGTCCGGAGTGCTGCACTATTGGTCCAGCGTGGCAGTCCTGGGTATTTTGCACACCCACCACACGTGCCATGCGATGTCAGTCTCATTGTGCGCGAAAAACAAGTTAGAAAACTTCCAACCAATCACATGCATCTGTATTCAACGTTCATGCGCCAATTCCAAATGGCCACAATCTCCCATAACACGGTCGAAAACAGTCTGGGGGGAACCCGATGAAAAAACAGATTGCTGTGTGGTGACCGTGAAACGAAATTGCTTTCTGCTGTTGGATTGGCGCCTGTTTTTCCTTTTCCATTTGTCACGTTATTCTTTGACCTTTCTGAACATGCCAAACCCAGTCACGACTCGGTCCTGTGACAGTCAAAAACGTCAGTGGTTCTGACGTTGGGCGTCAGGGGAAGTTGCCATGCGCAAAAATCGCACGACCCTCACCGCCCAACTCATGCGACGTCCAGATTCACTCCCCCCGTTGCTGCCATGCCTTAGGCACGTGTTCTGTGCACTGTTGCTGGGGGAAGTTCGGATGGGGCCCCATCTCAGGAACGCCATCTGACATTGCACATTCGCCCTTTCACAGAACAGATTCGCCATCAAAGTTCAGTTTCGATAATGCACAGCGCGTTACTACACGTACCCTGATCGTGACTTCTCGACCCTGAACACTCAGACTGTATAACTTCCCAACACTGAGCAATCAGGGTGCTGCTTTTCTGGAAAATATGCCTTCAGGGTTAAATTTTTTTTTTTTAGGTGGACATCAGGGTACCTAAATTTGAAACGTCAGCCCTGGTCCGAGGCCAACACTGCAGACTTCTTCACCAAGGCCCTTCCGCCTTGTGACCACCACAGGTGTTGTGTGCAGTTAGATCTCGTTGACACGGGTTCTCGTCTTGTGTAGACTTGTGTTCTCTGCTTGCTCTGTTTGTACACTTTACATATACCTATGTGAACTCTTGGACTGGCCTTGTGGCTCTTTTGCTTGTGCTCGGACTGTGTGGTGACGTTGTGATCCACCCTGAGCTTTGTTTCTTTGTGACTGGTCTTGTAACCGTACGGTTTTGTTTTACTTGACACCCCTCACTTAGGCTATGTTGTAGCCTTTAGTGATGTGTGTCATATGGGATACATCAGTTAGGTGTAGGCTTATGTACCCCAACCCACAACATTCAATCATCATTCGGTTTCTGACAGGAACATGGATGTCCGAATTTGTCGCAGAGTAGCGCGAGTAATGCTAGTACATCACCAAGTTCACATCGAGCAACAGCACAGCCACCATAGCACACACACATATAGCAGTTGTGCATAGCAGCCAATGCCCTATATATCAGCCTTTTTATGCTGATTCAGCGTTAGGTCAGGCTTTTTTTTTTGGTAAGGCTGAATCCAAAGTTTATTGTTATGTAGTTTGGCTGATTTTTCATAGTTTTTTCTTTAACCTTAGCTGTTTTTCCAGCCTTTTTGTGGGAGTGTAGGCTGTGCACTCGGGTGCACACCGAAACCGGCATTACAGGGATCTCAGTTTGGTGAAGTGTAGGACTAACACCGTCAATCACGAGCGGGAAGTCGAATTTTCCCCCGCGCTTCACCGCTTAGTTGCGTTGGTACAGCAAAGCTGTAATCAGCTGCAATTCCGACTAATCGGGGTTGCGCAGCAGGCAGCGTTGACAAAATTCGTTGCCAACGCATGGCTTGCAGCGCATTGTGTCTCGCACGACGCCACAGCCATCCATCCCACCCCACCTCCCCTGCAAACACGAGTTGAAGTTCCCAACCAGATTTTTATGAAAATGCATGATCAGCTAAAGATGTATACCTCATGCTGAAAGTTCAGCCTAAAAACTTTGTGTTGTCTGAATTTTCAGCCCAAAACATTGCGGCTACGCTGACTCACAGAGTTCCAGCAGGGGTGCACGCTGATCGATCAGCATGCCTCAAAACGAATCTAGGGGCCTGATAGCAGAGCTGTGACAAATCTGTTGCCTTGGACTTGGCGCCTGAGTGAGAGGTGCAATAACTGGGGGCTGAGAAACGAGAACGATATGGAAAATGATGATGGGAAAGAGAAAGGGAAGTGCTAGCGGCGGCGGAGGCAGCGGCTGAGAATTCGCGCTGGCGGCGAAGGTAATGGCGGGAGGGGCGAGAGAAGATGGGAAGGAAGGGAGTGGGGAGGGAGGACAGTGAAGGCGACGAAAAGGGAACGGGGACAGCGGGAGCGATGGGAGGGGAGGGGAGAGAGGAAGAACGACAGGAGGTTAAAACCACATCGCATCCAACTCTTGAAATAAAAGCCTCTCGTTTTCCTCAACTCTGAACTACTCCCACATTGCCTTCTGACCTTGAGTGCCCAACTTGTGCCAAACATCGACTTCGGGTCCCTACTGAGCTAAGGTTTCTCACTGTACAGAGACTAAGCCTTCATACGATATTGTACTTTCAGTCACCACTTTGATATTCATTATTTCTCACAACTTTTACAACGTGTCAACTTGGTGTACCTATCTCCAGAGCCTCACTTCCAATCCCCCTAATAGGCCTTTCATTTCACTATGATTGCTCAATCACAATCAAAATGCTGGAGTATGGAGTATAGATGTCCTGTTACAAACTGGTCTTTTTGAATATGCAATCAACCATATGTGGTGGTACAAGGACATGGCCTACAGAGATAGCAAGCAGATGCCACTCTACCTAGCAATAGATGTGCATATACTGGCAAGAGTTTTGCGCCCATGTTGTCTAGTTGACTGCTGAAGGCAAAGCCCCAGAGCACTATACCATCCTGCACTTCCACACATACCAATGACGAGCACAAGAAAAGGATGTGAACCAAATGCAGAAAAAGAGGCGCATATGACATGCTTTGATAAATGACAACCTTTCCCTATGTCGTTTGCCCCATATCCCCTTTCATCCCCGCTCTCTGTCCCCACCCCCCTCCCCTCCCATCCTCACTCACCGGCAGAGGCTGGCCATTCGTTGTGACGCCACTTGCTGCTGAAACGGCACTGGGCCCATCGGTATCTGCTGCGGGAGCAGTCTCGGCGCGACCACACTGTGGATTCCCCCAAACACATGTGCAATTCTGGGTCGTAGCAGCGTGCGTGGCAAGGCAGACGAAGTGATGTTGATGTCTTTCAGCGTGATGCCACGGCACGGAACCGTAGACGAACAGTTGAGGTAGAGCCCTTCCGTGTAGTCTGTCGTACCGATGATCCTCGAGTACGAGACATTGGATATGGCCACGGCGTGCTGGGAGGATTCCTCGCAATGAGACACTGAGTTACGATCGCAGTAATGCTGGTCGATGACTATAGGCCGCCGAACGTTCACCATGTACACGTTCCGGTAGCTCACGTTGGAGACAGACCCGGAGCCGCCCTGGTAGGTCTTGATGCGAAGGCCGTTGGAGAGCGCCATTAGAACAACGTTCTTGATCACCACGTTCTGCACGCATGCTGTGCTCCCCATGTCGCCCAGGCTGCCAATACTGGTGATGGGGAAGAGTGTGGGGAGGACAGTGAAGGGGGTGGAGGGAGGGATCAGATGAGGAGAGAATGGCGAAGATGAAGAGGGGTGAGGACAGAGAGAATGAGATACAAATAAGAACAGAGGAGAGGCTTCAAGGAGAACCAGGAGCAACTATTGATGAAAGCATAACAGTGGGACGGTTTGGGCCAAGTGCACGTGACATGATTGTGCCACGTCCTCTCACCTGATTCCGTGGCCTGCAATGCACCACGTGTCCTCCACACGCACGCTGTTAGACCCCGCTTCAATCACCACGTTGTCATCTCCTCCGTGCAGCGTGCACCTCTTTACAGTCACACCGCGACTGGCGGAGATGTGGATGGAGTCCGTGTTGGGCGAGTTGGCGGGGCTCGTTGTAGTCACATTGATCACTACGGAGCCTATCGTTCGCGAAATCTTGAGATGGATCGTGCCCGGGTTACTGGTGGGCGGGCGAAGTGATACGAACAGGGAAACAGTGGGGCGAGTGGAGTGAGAGGGTTGATACGGAGAAAGTGAGAGTGAGGAGGGCAGAAACATTTGCCACAAAGCGGCTGATATGGGCCGATTCAAAGCGCCGGTCTTTGGCTGTACAGCATCATCGAACGAGCTACGTACGGGCAACAAGCCATTAACACTCGTTTTAGAGGAAAAAGAGGCGCTCTTACCGCAGCGTGATCCCTTGGATCACAGAGTTGTTGCATCGGTACACCGTCATGAGCATCGGACGGTCCACGTTCAGCTGCCCCGCCTCCCACATGCGCCACCAGTTCGCACCGCGCCCGTCGATCGCGCCGCGCCCCGACACGATAAGCCAAGGAATGGAGCTGAACGACACCACCGCGGCCCGCACGGGCGCCACGAACGGGCCTGCGGGGCCGAGAATCACGCCGTCGAGCTGTGGCGGCGGATGGAGGGGCGGAGAAGGGGGGGGGCGGGGGAGGAGGAGCGGGGGGAAGGAGGTGGGGCTTGTATTGAATCGTCAGCTGCTGGGTTCTTGGTTCAACTGGTGCACAACATTAAAGTGAGACATGTGCAGGGTTGCAACATACGTACGACAGTATATGTACGATCAGCATAGGGCAGCAATTGTACCTGGAAGACAAAGCGCGGCCCGCACGGCCCTTCCATCTCCAGGTACGTCACGGAATACCACCCGTATGGCACCACCACCGCCGTCGCCAAGTTCCGCGCGCGCCCGAACGAGCATGCCGCGGCGAACGCGGCGGCAAACGAGCGGGTATCGTCCTTCGCGCCGTTCCCCATTGCGCCGAACCGGCGCACGTTGAACTGCTGGCGGGGCGGCAGCGGCGGAAGCTTCACCAGATACTCCGCCCCGCGCCCAGGGCCCGACCAGACACCCCCCCCTGGCGGAACTGGGTACGGTATTTTAGGCTGGGGCACTGGGACGACTGGAGGCTTGGGCGAGGGGGACGGGATTGGCTTCGGGGAAGGATTGGGGGAGGGTCGCGGGAAGGGATTCGGAGTTGGGCGGGGTGACGGCTGCGCTTGCGGCGGGCTCCGCCTGATCGGTCCGGTCTTGAAGCGGTTCACAGGCTTGGTTGGAGATCGGTCGGTTTGACTGTTGATGGTGGTTTGTCTGCCGTTGCTGTTGGGAAACATGCCGGATTGACGTGTGGATGAAAGGCGTGGGGAAGAGGATGGAGAGGAAGAGGACGAGGAAGAAGAGGAGTCCGAGGAGGGAGTGAAGGTGGAAGTGGGGAAGAGAAACGAGTTGGGAGCGCTGGGTTGGTCTTGGGAGGAAAATGCAGAACTCGAAAACTCTGAGAAGGGGGAGGATTGTGTATGTGGAGGGGGGAAAGTGGGGCGGGAGAGGGGATGAAAGGAAGGATTACAAATCATGTCAAGGACCTGGTTTGCAGAGACGAGAAGGAAGGGGGAAAGGTGTGGAAGAAGAGGAACGGGAAAGAAGAGGTCAGCAGCCACTCCGAGTTCCCGAAACCCCCCAGCAAGCTTGTAGTTTTCAGATCCCGACGACGATGTGTATTCGCACATGCAAAGAGGGCGGGCGCTTGGACCTTCGAGCGCAGGTGCAGCCAAGCGCAGGTCGTACCTTCTGCGCGTGAGGCCGGGAAGGCCGTAAGGAGCGAGATGGCCAATAGAAGGCCGAAGAGGAGAGGGACACGAGGTGCGGCAGCGGGATCCATGGATCGCGCTCGCGCTGGTGCTGATAAAGGGGCAACTGAAGGCGTCGGGCAAGCGCTTCGAGCGAGAAGCTGGAAGGGTCTTCTAGCCGTTCGAGGGTAATACTCAGGCGCCTCAACAACACTGAGGCGTTCTGGAAGGAGCTTCTGGCCGCGCGTGATTGCGTTCGCTGTTGATCGGTTCCCCAGTTCGGGCGTCAGTTGATTGGTGTCGTAAGCGACTATCGAGGATTCATGTGCAGAGTTGACAGCTTGATGCTCCAGGTGCAGCGATCAGAATATACTGGGAGGTCGTTATCTGTGATCTTTACAACCAGGTTACAACCTTACAACCTTAACACGTATGCGGGATCCACCTAAAAGCTTTCCCAGATGTTGTGGGCGGGACGAACGTCTCTCCTCGTCGTTGTCATATCTGGTGTAGACTCTTGACAGTGTGAGTGTTCAGCAGCTGTGAAGTAACTAGTCAAGCACGCGATGCGGCACAGTTCATTGGAGGGATGTGATGGTGGTGTGGTCATCAACAGCAAGGACGGCAGCTGGTTGCATTCGATGTATCTCGGTCGGGCGCGGGCGCCTTGTGCATAGGAATCGATGCGAAGCGAGAAAGGATCTGCGATTATTCGCGCATCACACCATACCATGGAAGCTGGTTGGGTGAAGGAGGAAATTCGGTAGAGCGCAGAGGACTAGACAGATTCATACCACTGGAATCGCTGATGGCTCCTTCGCCCACCATCACTCAGCTTGGCACCACCTCTAATCCTAGAATTTGACGGAAGAATGCTAATCCCACGCGCCACCACAGCGCTTTGGCAGGGAAATTGAGTACGTGGTGTGCAGTCCGGATCGCGAAGGGGCTTGGAACCACATGCGGCTCGGGATAGATGGTGCGATTCGAACGTTCCATTATCACATTTGGCAAAGAACCGTAATAGGCACTTGTTTAGAGGAGTCATTTGTGCCATTATCGGAATCGGTGTGTGATAAAGTACAGTTGCATCAAGCATGCGCGCCACGAGCCGTGCAAGTCACAATCTGGGACGGTTCAACTGGGGTTTATTGTTTTTGCCCGCGGGCAGCGAGCTCCCCTGGGCGGACTCGCTTGTCCGCTGAGATATATTCTTCGCTATTGCCAACAATGCTTTCCAAAAATCACCTGTCAGGTGGGAAGTGAACGGTATTAGCATAATTTTTTTTCTTGGTAAGGTTTACTACATCAAGTGCTTCAGTACAAATGTTACCTTCTAATATGTCAGCATGCTTAGTGGAGGAGTGAAATTTTATACATGTACTGGTGAGGTCGTCGGGCACTGATTTAGATTCAAACAAAGCCCCAGAATTTTTTTTGCTACATGCTAAGACTTAGGCATTCTGAACGGATCCAAAAATGACAAACTTCAAATGCGAGGTTTGGTATATATACGGGGGTTCCAATAATGTTCCATTGAGAGATGTTTTACTCAAGCTTGTTGGGCTGTGAAATCCCTTAGGATCGTTTTCAATGACTAAGGCTCGGAGTGGTAACGTATTCGCGGAAGCGTTTAAATGAGACTGGTTGAACCACCTTGCACTGATATATGATAACAAGATAAGTTTATTATAGCATAGATACAGGGCTTTTATATGATTACAGGGAATATGAAAGGTTTTGCTATCTGCAATTGTAACTGCTAGTGCGTGATACATCTGTTGGGAACAATAAGTCTTAAAGCGCCTCTGTCGTGTCGAAACTCAGGACACAAGCGAAGCAGTCCAAATCGAAGCATCGCGAGTCAACCCTCGGAGGTGTTGGGAACAAATAAGTTAAGCGCCTCTGTCGTGTCAGTACTCAAGACACAAAACGAAGCAGCTCAAGTCGAAACAGCGCGAGTCAACCAACGAGGTTAACGTAACCGTCGGAGGTTACGGGAAAGTCAAAGGGCAGCGACCTTTGACCTGACGCAGCGCGACAGCAAGGACAAACAACTGACTCGACATTGAGCAGTTGCCCGAGTCGCACTGTATCGAACCGCAACAGTAAAATTAGTTATAATGTCTCTTCATATCCTCTGTAGTCATCTATTTATATTCTTGTATTTCTTTGCTTTTATCAACTCACTTTGCCCTGACATACTAGCGCAAGGTGGTTCAAGAGCTTTATTCAACGCTTCCGCTATTACAACATCTACTCAAACTTTAACTCTACAAAGATCCTAGGGCGTTTCAGCTCAACATGGTATGAGAGCAGTTAGAGTTAAAATTCATTATTCAACACTCAGTACATCAAAGAAGACATGTCTGCTAGAAAGGAGAGGAGCTCCTCCAACGGCTCTCCCGGTACTACCCCTACTCCACCACCTGCCTCTGGCCTACTGACAGAGGAGGGGACAACGACGAGACCAGCAGCTGGGTCTACGGAAACACCCGCAAACCAAGGCGCGGGCTTCGATCCAAGCATGATGGAGAAATTCTTCTCCTTCATGTCCTTCTACGAGCAGCACCAGCAAGGAGCACCTGCGCAATCAAACAACAGCAACAACAACAACAACGTGACGCCTATGAGTCTCGATGGCTCATCCTACGCGCGCGGGAATCAACATCAACAACCCACCTTTGCTCCGTACGAGCCCCAGCGTGGCTCCGTCAGCTTCATGCCGCAACCGCAACCTGCACCAGGACAAGAGAGAGCGCTGGACGCATTACAAGTTCAGTCACAATTCGCGCACGTTTTAAAGCTGCAAACGACAAAGCCCTTTGACGGAAAAGACTTCTTCACCTGGTCTTTCGAATTCGAGCTGATGATGGAAGGAGCGCAAATCCTTGGCTTCTTCGACGGGTCCCTGCCATATCCAACAAACGGCACACAGTATGAGAAGCAGCAGCATACTTATCAATCAATGATGGCGTACACTATACTACTGAGGAACATTACCCTGGCCCAACAGCAGAACATCAGGCCTTACCGAGGCTACGGCAACTCCGCGGAGCTCGCGTACAACCACCTGAAGAACCTGTATCAAGCAACAGACAGTGTAAACCAAAGCCGGTTAATGGCGCAGCTAACAACAATCGAAATGAAGCCAGGCGAAAAAGGCATGGAGTATATCAGTCGCTGCCGCGAGCTGCGCGACAGGCTCCTTCGATGTGGAGGTTCAATTTCAGAAGACGCCTTCGTCACGGTCGTTATCGGCGGTCTCGGCCCTCACTGGCGCTCCACTCGCGCCATATTACGAGCACACGGAAGAATCTCCGAAGCGGCACTCTGCGCCGAAATCCACGCCGAGCAGCAAGATATGGACCTGCAAGAAGAACGACATAAGAAAAAGGCATCAGTACCAGAATTCGCCTTTCACACCCAGCGACGCTACAACAATAGCAACACTCGACAGCAACAACAACCGAAGCTTGTACCTCCTTTTTGCCATATCTGCAAGACTTCAGGACATCCTCGCACTCACTGCCCGTATCGTCATCAATCGACAGCACCACAACGACAACTCCGACCTTCGAGCAGCCAAGTCACCTCGACGCAAGCAGCCCCAACAACTTCAGTCCAAGCTTCAAGGACTCCAACAGGACAACCTGCGCAAAAACCAAGGAATATCGTCAACTGCATGGTAAAGATAACCGACTCCTGCACAACCGAGTCACCACCGTACTACTCACCCGAAGAACAACTTGACAACAGCACGCCTCGCCGCGAGTCTCTTCAACCGAATCCGACGTACGCCGCCATTGCTCAAAGTGAACCATCCGGGAAAGATACTTGGTTCTTGGACAGTTGCTGCGGACAACACATGTGCTCTTCGGGACGCTTCGTCCAACGCGAACATCGACTTCAACGAGAGGTTGTCATCACAGTTGCCAACAATCAGAACCTGCGCACACGACGACAAGGAGTGGTACAGCTTCAGTCCAGGGAGACTAATGTTGTACTACACATGTCGAAGGTACTAATAGCAGAAGGACTCGGCTACAACTTACTGAGCGTCACCCAGTTGATGGCGAAGGGCATCCACCTGGAAGCCGACAGCACCACCCAGGAATTTAAATTATATCACCGGAAAGGCGGCCTTTACATCGGGAAGGCAGTTCTGAAGAACAACGTCTTCGTCCTGGATTTCGTCCCGGACCTGGGCACCGCAGACAGCGACGCTATTGTTAACTTCACGGACTGGACGCACCCTCCAGATCTTGATCCAAACTTCAGCCCAGAAGGCTTCTGGTACTCCCATACTATCCCTGAAGCAGAACGAACACGCGCATTAGCAACAATACAACACCCGACAGCAGCAGAGACAACATCGGCAGCAGCAGAGACATCATCGGCAGCAGCAGAAACAACAACAACAGCAGAGACATCATCGGCAGCAGCAGAAACAACAACGACAGCAGCAGAGACAACATCGGCAGCAGCAGCAGGAACAACGACACCAGTCCTCGTTGACGAAGAACCACCAACACCCGCACAACAGTTGAAACCAACTCCACGAGAAGCCCACAAAAGCGCAAACTTCGTCGCCAGCTTCTACTCCAACTCCGACACGTATCGACGATCACCCGGACATCGCGCCTCCGAAGAAACCTGGCACGCACGATTGGGACATCCAAGCAACACAGTCTTAAACAACACGATAAGAGCAGGAGTTCTCGACAAAGACTCCCTACTACTACCCGACGGCAGAGAACTTCAAAAGGCACGAGGGACTTGTCTTACCTGCCCCGAAGCTGACTTACCACATCGCCCGTTCGCTCCTCATCACAACCCGAGCGCACCGGCGTACGCACCACTCGAGAAGGTGTACAGCGACATCCTCTACAATCGCGAACCAGGACAAGTCACCTACAACTATACGATTACCTTCATCGACGCCGCCACTCGATATGTCTGGCATCTAAACCTACCAAGCCGCGACATGGCACTCGCTGCGTTCGCCGCCTGGCTACCAGTAGCAGAACGAGAGTCGGGAGCACAGCTGAAAAGCTTCCAGCCAGACGGAGGAGGAGAATACACCTCTCAG